ACGGGTGGTGGCTGATTAAATACTCTGCTTTTATTGCGACAGCTCTCTCACTGCCTCCCTGCTTTCACGTTTGCTTTCCTATAATCCATTCTCCACCCAGCAGCCAGAAGAATCCTTTAAAGTATAAGTCGGATCCTGTCACTCCATTGTTCAAAAACTGCTTCCCATTTCAATCAGTAAAATCCAGTCCTTATTGTGGCCTCCAAGGCCCTACATGACCTGGCCACCCCACTAACTCTCTGAATTGCGTTCCGATCCTTGCCCATTGCTCAGTTCTTTCCAGCTACACAGGACTGCTTTCTTACTTTCTCACACGTGCTGAGTGTGCTTTTTGCCTCAAAGCCTTTCTATTGCTCTTCCATCTGCCTGGGATGTTCTCACCTCACATATCCTCCTCGTCCCCTGCCTGATGCCATTGTATCTGCTCAGATGTCATGTCATCACAGAGCCCTGCCCTGACCACCCTACTTAAAATACCCACCCCCTTACTCTGCCTTCTTTTGTGACTAAGCACTGATCACCAGCTGACATAGGAACATATTATATTTTGTTTACTTGTTTATGGTCTTTCTATTAGAGCGTAGCTTCACAAGAGCAGGGGATTTATCTGTTTTGTTTATTGCTGTATCCTCAGTGCCTATAATACACTCCACACATGCTGGTGGGTGTTGTCGAGTCGATTCCAACTCATAGCAACCCTATGGGACAGAGTAGAACTGCCTCGTGGGGTTTCCAAGGCTGTACTCTTTATGGGAGCAGATCACCAGGTCTTTTCTCCTGAGGCGCTGCTAGTGGGTTTGAACCGTTGACCTTTTAGTTAGCAGCTGAGCTCTTAACCTTTGTGCTGGCGCCTACTACCTGTTTGTTAAATATTTGTTGACTGGATGAGTGAATGAGTGGATGGGTAGGTAGTCTCGGTTGAATAGCTGTGAAAACGCTCCACTCACAGCTTTTCCTAAGCTGTGTATCTGCTTTGCGGTTAGTGAGAACTGCCTTATCCGTATACTCAGGAACATCCTTTAAGCTCTACCTTCACCTTTCTCCTGCATTCCTTCCCTGCCTTCCTTAATGTCCCTCTTTTCTTCACTTTCTCCTTCCTTCATTTATCTTTAATTGTGTATTCCTCAGATATGTTGTTGTTGTTAGGTGCTGTTGAATCAATTTTCAACTCATAGCGACCCTGTGTGACAGAGTAGAACCACCTCATAGGGTTTTCTTGGCTGTAATCTTTACCGGAGCAGATTGCCAGTTCTTTCTCCTGCAGAGCCGCTGGATGGGTTTGAACCGCCAACCTTTTGGTTAGCAACTGAACCGCTTAACCATTGTGCCACTAGAGCTGCTTAGATATACCCAGCCTGAAATATGCTAATTACAGTCATTCCTACTGGATATGCACACCAACAAAACCAAACCAAATCAAACAACAACAAAACCCAGAAAAATCTATCTGCTGATCTCATAGATTAGGCCCTGCCTTTTGTGAGTAGTGGGGGGATAAAATTTTTTCAGTCATTTGCTCATTTCTGTTTCCTGCATGAAGGTTTAATGCGGTCAGGGATGTTGGGCGTCGAGTTCACTTCACTAACTTTTTTTTGTTTACAAACGTACCTTGAATTATGATCCCAAGTATTGCCATTGCTCATTTTTTTCTTAATAGGTAGCTGCCCGAGTGCTTCGCCTCCTAAAACAAATCTTTATTTTTATTTTCAAATTTTGGGTAAACTCCTTATTGAAATTTAACTTCAATACAGAAAACTGCACAAATTCTGAACTTACAGCTTCATGAATCTTTAGGGTGTAAAATGGCTCTTTATTTATTTTAGAGTTCTTTTTCATTGAGGTAAAAGTTATAAATCTTAAGTGTGCAGTTTGATGAGTTTTGACAAATGGATACACCTGTATAACTCACATTCCACAGAAAGCTGAACAAATCTTACAGCATTTTTGACCCCACCTCCTTTATTAAAAGTTCTTTTGTCAAACATCAGAATGTCCCAGGATTTTGCATTCTCTTTATCCACCTAGCTCTACAAAGTATGTCCTTGAGGTCTATTTTCAGTGCCCAGAAGCACAAATTAAAGGGTTCTTCTCCTTTAAGGATCCTTAAGAACAAAAACAGAGAATTGTGCTAAGTGGACCTCATTTTCTTCACTTCTCCTGGAGACAGCTCACAGGTATAGAATAAACCAGTGTGATTAAAGGGTTATTTCAGAACGTTGTTAGTCTTCTGATAAATGTCTAAGTGAATTATAATTTTTATGGCATCTGTATTAGTTATCTATCGCATAGCAAGTTACTCTTTAACTTAGCAGCTTAAAACAGCAAACATATATCTCACAGATTCTGAGGGTCACGAATTTGGTGACTGAATGGGGTGGTTCTGGCTGAGGACCTCATGAGGTTGCAACCAAGGATTCCACCGATCTGCAGTCATCTGAAGACTTGACTGGGGCTGGAGGATTCACCTCCAAGATGGGGTCATTTATGTGATTGGTGGCAGGAGACCTCAGTTCCTTGCTGGCTGATGGCAGGAGGCCTCAGTTTTGCCAAGTGGGTCTCCCTAGGACTTTCTGAGTGTCTTCAAGACACGGCAACCAGTTCCTCCAGAGCAATTGATCCAAGAGAACAGAAGTCAGAAGCCACAGTATCTTTTATGACCTGGCCTTGGAAGTGACATGCCATCTTCTGCCATATTGGTTTCACAGACCAATCCTAATACAGTAAAACCTGTGAAAGCTAGAACCTGTGCGAGGCAGAAAACTATCATAGAGAAGGAAAACACAAATATTTTTCACTAATAGAGAGCAATAGAAAAGTGGTAAGACTGCACCCTATCAAAGGCAGAAAACTTACAAGACCCAGAAAAACAAGGCAGACCTGTCGAGTTCCGGCTGTCACAGATTTCAGTGTAGAATGTGGGAGGAGACTTTAAACAGGTATGAATACCAGGAGGCAGGGGTCACTGGGAGTCATCTTGTATCCTAGCTGTCGTAGCACCTTTTGGTATGTGTGGATACATATCTGTGGAACCTAGAAAATAATTTTAGTCATTCAGGTTTACTAGAAAATTCAGCTAAATTGTGCAGCAAAACTCATCAGTGCTTCACTCCTATAGGATATGTCGGCTATGGGAATGAGTTTCCTAATTTCTTTCAGGTTATAATGTTCACCAATTGAACATTGTGTACTCGGACTTCATTGAAATGAAGAGGAAATTCTCTCAAGTATGGATTGTTTAATGTGTTTGTTTAATAGCTAAATTAAGGAAATAAAGGCAGTATCTCAGGACAGAGGAGATTTTTCCCTTTACAGATACATTATTTTCCCTTTTTCTCAAGATGTCCCCTTTTTTCCTCCTTAGTAACTCTTGGCATCACAGGGTAATCCATCTGTAAACACTGAAGGATTGTCTCAGACTGGCTTGCCTGTTACAGATGTACAATGCAGCCTTGATTTAAAGACTTAAAAATAGCTGGGATTATGTAGATCCTGTATACGTGCTTCGCAAAAGAAGAGGTGGTTTTCAAGTGATTATACTTATAGACAAGGAGGTAAAATTTCTCCTCTGTAAAATCTTTCTAGGACAGCTTTTTATTGCATTGCAGCTTCCGTATTTCTAACTCTTTATACGTAAGACTTGGTCTAGTTCTGAATAAGTCTGATTAACACTCAGTGGATAGAGCCTAATGACTACTTCTTTGTTTTTGTAGGCATGAAAAAACAATGATAAAGTCAAGCTGAACTTTCCAGTGGCTGAATAAGGCCTCCCAGTATGGTCTACATGTGCAATCTTCTTGTCTATGAACATGCATTCACTTGTCCTCATTTTCATCTCTCAACTTTCTTTATCCTTCCAGGACACAGGAATCAAAATGAGATGGAGGCTGTTCAAGAAGCAGGGTTAAGATACCTTTTACATGAAGTCCTTATATGCTGGAAAATGTGGGAACAATTTAGAAGTAAGTTAAGTGGAAATCAAGACTGTATAGTAAATCTTCAAGGCAAGAGGTCCAAGTTGCTAAACCAAAACAATTCCCCTTGTCAGATGCGGACAGGAGAATCTGTTCAGGTTTCTGAGGATGAGAACAATGTGACGAAGCTTCAGGAGGAGATTTCCAACAGTATCAAAACTCAAGAGTTTCCGGTTAGGACTACCTGGGATTTCTGGAGGAAACTGTATCTGAGAGAGTCACAGAATTATCAGAATAGATGTCAGCAAATTGATGTAAAAAATAAATTGTGTAAATGTGATCAGTGTGTTATGAGAAAGAGCATTCATCCCCATGATGGCCGTGGAGTATACAAAAGAGAGAAAGCTTTTAGCCACAATAATTGTGGAAAAGACTTCATGAAGAAGCCATCCCAGCGTAGTATAATCTACTCAGGAGAGCAAACCTCTGATGAGAATGGAAAAGGCTTCAATGTTGGCTCTAATCTTGAACTGCATCAGCAATTACAGTTAAGAGAAAAGCGGCATACATGTAGTGAATATGGAAAGGGTATCAGTTATAGCTCATTGCTTTCCGTTCGTCGAATTGACTCAACAGCAGCGGGCATAGGTCCTATTCTTCAGAGTGTTCACACAGGAGAGAAATGCTATAGGAATGATGAGTGTGGTGAGGGCTTCAGTGAGAACTCACATCTGCAAACTCATCAGAGAGTCAACACAGGAGAGAAACCCTACAAATGTCAGGAATGTGCTAAGAGCTTTAATCAGAACTCCTTTCTTCCTACTCATGAGATTTTTCACACAGGAGAGAAGCCATATAAGTGTGACAGGTGTAAGAAGGGCTTCAGTGCTACCTTTGATCTTAACATTCACTGTGTAGATAACACTGGAGATAAATCCTATAAATGTGATGTTTATGATAAAGGCTTCAGTCAGATAGCACAACTTCAAGCCCATCAGAGAGCCTACACTAGAGACAAAACATACAAATGGGAAGTGTGTGATAGGGTATTTAATCAGAATTCTGGTCTTCAACAGAGAGTCCACATAGGAGAGAAGCCATATAAATGTAAGGTGTGTCATAAGAGCTTCAGTAAGGCCTCAAATCTGCAAGCCCATCAGAGAATCCACACTGGAGAGAAACCGTACAAATGTGATATGTGTGATAAGAACTTCAGCCGTAATTCCCATCTTCAGGCCCATCAGAGAGTCCACACAGGAGAGAAACCATACAAATGTGAAACCTGTGGCAAGGACTTCAGTCAGATTTCACATCTTCAGGCGCATCAGAGAGTTCACACAGGAGAGAAGCCATACAAATGTGAGACATGTGGTAAGGGCTTTAGTCAGAGTTCACATCTTCAGGACCATCAGAGAGTCCACACTGGGGAGAAACCCTACAAATGCAGTGTATGTGGTAAGGATTTCAGTTGGAGTTCACATCTTCAAGCCCATCAGAGAGTCCATACAGGAGAGAAACCCTATAAATGTGAGGAATGTGGGAAAGGCTTCATTTGGAACTCGTATCTTCATGTTCATCAGAGGATTCACACAGGAGAAAAACCTTACGAATGTAGCATGTGTGGTAAGAGCTTCAGTCAGGCCTCACATCTTCAAGCCCATCGAAGAGTCCACACTGGAGAGAAGCCATACAAATGTTTTGTATGTGGTAAGGGTTTTAGTCAGAGTTCGTGTCTTCAAGTTCATCAAAGAGTTCATAATGGTGATAAGTCGAATACACGTGATGAGTGTGATAAAGGTGTTCTTCAGAGCATAGGCTTCTCATTTTCATCAGAAGATCAACACAGCAGAGGATATATATAAAATGTTGTGTTTTAGAAATTCAAGACTAAGCTGAGTTTTTCATAGTCATTTCAGTTCCATTGGAGAAAACCTGTTTGTTGTATGAATATTGCCAGTGTTTCAGGCAGAGCTCAAAATGTCACAGTTCTAAAGAGAACATACAGCAGAGAAACCCTATGAGTGGTACAGTAAGGGTTTCAGTCAGAACCTTCACATTCAACAGCTTACACAAGAGCGAGGCCTTAAAAATGGCAAATAAAATCAGAACGTAGCAATGTTGTACATGACAAAATCCATGTCCGCTAGAATGTCGGCTTCATGAAGGCAGGAACTTTGTTTACTGCTGTATCACCAGGACCTCAACTCAGTGCCTGACAAATTGTAGGTGCCATGTCACTGTTGACCTCAACGGAGAGGAAAAACCTATTATAAACAGCACAGATATCTGAGAAATTTTTAGTGAGTTCAACCCCAAATATTCAAAATAAATTGTACTGGAAAAAAGATTCTTGAACAAGGCCTTAAAAATGAATTCAAGGAAAGTATCATTTAATAAAAATACACAAAACTGTGCAGTCTACAATTTGAGTACAACATTTTTTGCAGTTGATGCCTGTCCTCTGCTCAGCTTCTCTTCTCAAATAGTAATAGGCTAAAGTTTTTATCTTACCATGTAGGGCTTCTCTGAACAGTGTACCATCAGTTGTATATGATATAAGTCTCACTCTCTTTTCTTGGATCTTTTGTGATAAGAACAGACTGAATTAAAAACAAACAAAAACTGGTTTTTAATTCTATAAAGCTTCCCAAGAAAAGAGTGTGCAAAAGATACGGGAACATTTTATAACATACCACCAACTGAGGCGCTTTGGATGTTCAATTAAGCTGTTAAGGGCACAGAGAATTTTGGAAACCACCCCATGCTTCTCAGACACTTCAGTGGTTTTTGAGTATGCTTGGTTGAAGGGCTTGCTCAGCCAGGAGTATATTTAATGAGGGTGGGGGACAGTTTTCCACAGTTTTTTTCTTCTGGACCTAATGGGGAAAGAAGGAGCCCAGGTGGTGCAGCGGTTAAGTGCTCAGCTGCTAACCAAAAGGTTGGCAGTTTGAACCCACCAGTGGCTCTGTGGGAGAAAAGACCTGGCAGTCTGCTCCCATAAAGATTACAGCCTAGGAAAACCCTATGGGGGCAGTTCAGCTCTGTCCTACGGGGTTGCTATGAGTTGGAATTGACAGCACATAACAACAACACCGTTCCAGGACACTAGGTACTTAAATTCCATGATATCTCGAGTTTCATTTTACCATCAGAAATCCAGGGCCTGTAATAGTCTGCTGTATCATCACCAGATACTAGAGTGGGCTAGTAGTGTTCATGGGTGTTTATATTAGCCAGGATGTTTTCAGTTGTAATTAATAGAAAGCTCAAACTAGCTGAAACAAAAAGGAGGATTTCTTGGTACACACAGACAGGGCAGGCCTGGTTGAAACAGGGCTCTAGATGGATTGTTTTGTGCCTGCCTTACTTACCTATGCTCTTCTGGTTGAGTAACACTTTTTGCTTTCTAACAGGACTTTTCTAACTTGACCCCCCGCCCCCATCCCCGACTCAAGGTTCGTAATCTTGAATCTAGTTTCCTGCCCTCTTGTGGATTGTTCAAATTCATCATCACTCCAGATTAGGTTCTCTTCATTTCTGGGCCCTGGTGATTGATTGCCCTTTCTTAATTTTGAGTTTGGTTATGTAATCATACTTGTTCTTTGCATGTTAGATTTTATCCAGTTTTTCTATGAATTTTATTTAGGAGGGATAATTCCCACATTAGTTCATTCCAACCCATTGATAGGAAATGTATGTAAAGAACTGATGCTCTGTTCACTTTGTTATAGTGCTCTCTACTTTGTATGTACTTCTCAAGCAGTTGGTTTATGAACCTCTTGTCCCTCTAACTCATGTAGGGACTTGACATTTTACTAAATATACCATATCTAAATACACACACCCACATGCATATATTACCTGTGGATTATGATTTGCCATTCTAACCGTGCATCAACCTACCAGAGAATCTTTAACATATGCTTTCTTCAAAGTAAAGCCAGACTTTTTTTCCCCTAAAAATGAGCATAACATAGAAAAAAAACACTCATAAGAGTGAAAGTCAGTGGAAATTCACCACTGACACATACACTGTGACTATTTTATTGAACGTTTTTAGGGTATCTGTGCATATGGATATAGATTTACTCAATTTTACAAAACTAAGATAGTCATATGCATACTATTCTGTAACTTGATTTTCTTCACTTGGTATGTTAGAAACATTTTCTGTAAATATTGATCTATAGTATTTTAATTACACAGTATTCCAGTATACAGATTATATATTAATCAGTTTGCTACTGATGAGTGTTCAGGCTGTGCCTTCTAAACAACTGATGAAAAATTTAGAACAGTAACATCCGTCTTCATGCACTTGTACTGTTATTTCCTTGGGTGAATTTTTTAGAAGTCGTGCTGAATCAAAGGATAATCACTTTTAACTTCGGTGTATACTGTGCACCTTACCTTCCAGCAGGTACGTGAGATTGCTCATTTCCCCAACCGTCATGAATAATGGATATCCAACCTTGACTGGATAAAAATGACCTGCTGCTAATTTACTTGCCAGCCACAAGAGAATAAATCCTCTTTGGATGAGATAACGTTCAGAGCCTCCACAATTTTTTACAAGCGATGTCTGACATCAAAGCCCAAATTATTCACTCTTTGCAGGAAAAAGGATCAAATGACCAAAAACTAAAAGGCAGTAGAAACTGACCCCCACATGATTTAGATATTAGAATTACCCGACATTGACTTAAAAATTATATATTAATATGTTCATGAAAATCTGGAAAATTTTTAGATCTATTAAGAATTATATAGTCCTGGATTAAAAATAATAATACAATAGCTGAAATTAAGAATTTAATAGGTGAATTTAAAAGCAGATTAGATGTAGCCAGAGCTGTATATTCTCCAATCTGCAGAGTTTAATAGCCTGTGAGTTCCTCTGGGGTGGACACCATGTCTTATGTGTAACGTCGTGCAGTAAGTACAGAAACAAAGCTCCAGAGGGTAGGATCGTTGTTGGAGAGAGTGAGTTTTGGGAGTCAAGAGTTAAGGTCTCAGCTAACTTATTCTTCACCTTTGAGTGACCGGTGCCAGACAGACATGAACAAGTCTTGCTTTTGAAAGTGGAACCAAAATAAAGTACCCCTGTTGTCAAGAATCCTCCCTGAGATTTCCAAATAGCAATTCTGGCACCTCCTGTCTTTGATTATTAGGGCCTACGTGGCGTTCCTGCACTTTCGAGACTTAGAAAAGGAAAAGAGCCTGTAAGTTTTGACTCAAAAGCATGAGGAGAGAGGTGAAAGTTGCATATGGTCTTGGATGGGGGACAATCTGTTGAGGGTGAGAAGAGAGGAAAAGATGTTCAGGGAAAAAGGCATGTGAGTAAATGGTTTAGGTGAGAAAAAAGTAACCCATCATTATAGCTGGTTAAATGTGAGACTTCCTACCAGGTTACACCCAGACTAGTCTAGGCAGGTCTAGTATTATGGATTCTTTCCTTCTCTCATATCTGCCTTCTTAGTACCCTGCCCTGCTCCAAGAGGAGGACATTTTAACCAAGTTTTAGGGAAGTGGAACGTTCTAAAAAACTTACCCATTCTCAGAGACTGCACACCTTTCTTACAAAAAAAAGCACAACATCTGTTGAAGTACAGCCAGGTCACCATTCTTACTGTACTTAAGCCTCAGCGAGGTAAATGGTACCCCTGTTGCAACATGAACAAACAGGCTTGGGGCGGTTAAGACTATTGCCCTAGTTCACACAGCAGCAGGATTTGAACAAATGGACCAATGATTTAAAACAATTTTTAATTATGAGAAATTTCAAAAATACTCAAAAGCAGAAAATAACAGCGGACCCCGTGTACTCACCACACAGATTCAACATCATCAAGATTTTACTACATTTGCTTAATCCCTTTTTTCTTTTATCTTTCCTGAAATAACCTTAAGCAAATCCCTGATAACTGTATTTCTTTTCACACCTACCTGCTTTACTACGTATCTCTTAAATACGGATTATTTGTTTACAAAACCAAAAGCCATTGTCATACCTAACAAAAATATTCAAATTTCTGTGAAATATTTCAAAATTTCACTTTACAGTTTATTTTCTCTATAGTTTTCTTTGTATTATCTATGTTTAGTTTTAATATCGGGGTGATACTGGCTGCTTCTGTTTTCGGAAAGAGATTGTGTAGAATGGTGCTTAATTTTTCTCTGAATGTTTGAGAGAATTATCTAGTGAAACCTAGATGTTTATTTTTTAAAAGGTTTTAAATTATGGATTAAATTCCTTTAATAGTTATGACTGTTAAGATTGTCTATTTCATATTGAATGAGTTTTGTTTGTGTTTTTTGAGGAATTAGTCCATTTCATCTAAGTTGTTGAGTTCACATGTGTAGAGTTGTTTGTAGCATTCCTTTATTATGCTTTTACTGGATGCAAGTTCTGTATTTATATCCTCTGTTCCATTCCTCATATTGGAAACGTGTAGTCTTCTTCGTCAGTCTTGCTAGAGGCTTATCGATTTTATTGATCTTTTAAAAGAGCCACCTTTTTGTTTTATTGATTTTCCCCATCGTTTTTCTGTTTTCAATTGCATGGTTTGTTTTTTTAACTTCTTTTCTCGTATCATTTCTGTTCTTCTCCTTCCTTTGGGTTTATGTTGCTCTTCTTTTGCTAGTTTCTTGAGTGCAGTGTCACTTTTTTCACAAGTTTAGTGAAGACCGTTTGGAGCAAAGCACAGAGCAGACACTGTTCCGACGGCAAGGTCAACAGGTGTATATTACTCACAGAATAAACAGGACAGAGATGAGTTGAACAGCATATGTCATCATTAGCCTAGGCTCCCACCCCAGGGTGTTAAGTTAAATCGCACCCAAGCAGCCCCGGTTCGCATCTTGGGAGGAGAACGTCTAAATTCCCCTCTCCCGGGATTAAATACTAATTGGACAGCCATGTCTATGTGCCAAACAACATGTACAGAGAACAGATAGGGGAATGGATAATAAAAGAGGAGCAATAAAAGGTAAAAGAGGGTAATAAAAGTGGAAGGCCCCCTGCAGGCAATGGACATCATTTATTGATTTACTGGTGACAGGAGGATTCCTTCCCCTAAGATAACAGAGTTCTGTGTTTCTTCAGAGGGCAATCATCTCCCACTAAGGCACGTACTTTACTTTGTTAGTAGCTGTTATGTCCATTAGCAGCTAGGGAGACAGTGAAGACACAATTATAATATAGCACACTTGTGCATCCAGTATTGAGGTGGGAGCTTAGATTATAGATTTGCCACCTTTTCTTTTTCTTTTTCCTAATACAGGCATTTGTGCTATAAATTTTTCTCTCAGTACTGCTTTAGTGGTATCCCACAAATTTTGATATGTTGTATTTTCATTTTCATTCCGTTCTAAGTATTTTCAAAATTTTCTAGGAGACATTCTCTTTG